TGTGGTTTATTCTTCCATTATTTTGATAAAATTCATCATGTGTATTAATTTGCAATTGTGGAAGATCATGGCATTTCTGAGATAAATTCCAATTGAAGGTTTTGCGTGAGCTTCAGCATGTGGTTTTGGTTTTGTTAGGCTAGAATTTTGTTGAGAATCTTTGCATCTTTTTCATTATGGATATAGGCCTTCAGTTTTCTTTGTATTTCATGTTTTGTTATCTTTTGTGGTTAAAATAATGCCAGCCTCTCAAAAAGTGTTTGTTAGAGTTGAATCCTACTGCTTCCAGTTTATTATTTTGAAATAGTTGGAAAAGTATTGGAGTTGCTTTTTAAATCTTCAAGCTCCTTGGATACCTTTATTCAAAGGTATTTAAATTTTAGTAGCTATTGTGAATGGAATGGATCTTCGAAGTTGTTTCTCAGCCCTTATATTGTGTTTATACAAATTCTATTGATTTTTGTGTGTTGATTTTCTATCCTGCCACTTTTCCAAACTCTATTATTAGTTCTAATGGTCTCATGGTGGAGTCTCTTGGTTTCCCCATTTATAAATCATGTCCTTTTGAAAGAGGGATAGTTTGACTTCCTCCTTCCCAATTTGTATCCATTTGATTTCTTTTTCTTGCCTAATGGCTCCTAAACTTCTAGATCTATATTGAATAGCAATAATGAGGGTACATTCTTGTCTGATTCCAGATCATAGTTGGGAATGCTTCCAACTTGTCCCCATTCATAAGATGCTATCAGTCGGTTTGACATAAATTGCCTTGATTGTGTAGAGGAATGTTCTTTCTGTTGTCAGTTTCCCTGAGGTTTTCGTTTTGAAAGGTTTTTGCATATTTTCCAGCTGTTTTCATCTATTGAAATAATTATGTTTTTTAAATATGTATTTAATTGAAAGGCAGATTTGTGGAGTGAGGGAGAGAGATTTCCCAAGAATTTCCAATTCATTGGCAAACAGTACATTGTAGCAATTCCAGATGAATGTTTTTATTTATTGGGTTGCTATTATTACAGTTTGTTTTTCCTTTCTGATTTTACTGATTGGGATCCTTTTTTTAATTTTTTGACAGGCAGAGTGGAGAGTGAGAGAGAGAGAGAGACAGAGAGAAAGGTCTTCCGTTTTGTTGTTGGTTCACCCTCCAATGGCCACCGCAGCCGGAACGCTGTGGCCGGCGCACCGCGCTGATCCGATCGCAGGAGCCAGGTGCTTCTCCTGGTCTCCCATGGGTGCAGGGCCCAAGCACCTGGGCCATCCTCCACTGCACTCCTGGCCACAGCAGAGATCTGGCCTGGAAGAGGGGCAACTGGGACAGAATCCGAGGCCCGGCCGGGACTAGAACCCGGTGTGCTGGCACTGCAGGTGGAAGATTAGCCTAGTGAGCCGTGCGCCGGCCGATTGGGGTCTTATTCCTGTTTTGTTGTTGTTGTTGTTGTTTTGGAGATTTTCAGCAATTTTCTAAAAAATATTTTTTAGCCAGATTTTCATATCAGTGATCTTTTTTTTTTTTTTTGACAGGCAGATTTAGACAGAAAGAAAGAAAGGTCTTCCTTTTCATTGGTTCACTCTCCAAATAGCCACTATGGCTGGTGGACTGCGCCGATCTGAAGCCAGGAGCCAGGTGCTTCCTCCAGATCACCCATGTGGGTATAGGGCCCAAGCACTGGGCCATCCTACACTGCACTCCCGGGTCACAGGAAGGAGCTGGACAGGAAGAGGTGCAACCGGGACAGAATCTGGCACCCCAACCGCGAATAGAATCCAATGTGCCGGCGTCGCAAGTGGAGGATTAGCCTATTGAGCCACAGCATTGGCCTCAATGATCTTATTATAATGTATTTCTTCAGCTTTGTCCATTTCTTCTCAAATTTCCATGATTTCTGTCATCCTACTAATTTGGACTTTGATAAGTTGTTTTTCTAGATTTTGTGATGCATTGAAAAGCTCATTCATTTGATTCCTTTCCAATATTTTGTAGGCACAAGTTGTTATAAAGTTTCCTGTTAACATTGCATTTGCTGTGTCCCATACGTTTTGCAGTGTTGTACTGTTATCTTCAGTCATTTCCAGAAATTTCTGGATTTTCATTTTGATTTCTCCTAAGACCAACCATTCATTCAGGAGCATGTTGCTCGGACGCCACGTGTTTGCATACATTCTGGAGTTTCCTGAGTTGTTGATTTCCCATTTCCTTCCATTTTGATCATAGAAGATGCATGAACTTATTTCAGTTATTGAGATTTCTAGGCTTGCTTTATGTCCTATCATATGTTGTGTCCTAGAGAAAGTTCCAGGAACTGATGAGAAGAATGTGTATTCTGCAAGTTGTGCGATGAAATGTTCTAAGTTAGGACTTCCAGCAAGGCAGTCTGTTCCCAGGGACAAAGCGATGAGCGACTGTGTCACCTACAATTTTGACATAGGGGAGGGGCTAGGAAATGACCAAGAGAAGACAGTTCAGGTGTTCTTGTAAGATGCTGTTTTTTAGTTAAGAGGTCCAAATTCCATGCATTTCATAAATGCAATTTAGGTACACAGTGATAGTCCCGACCCTACCTCCCTGTCAGGGGCACAACACGTCGTGTACTTGGTTGTCTGACTCTGGGCAGCAACCCTGGCACCAACCAGGCCAAGGATACTGGGCAGGTACCTGCTGTTCAGTAGCCCTGACCATGGGCAGTTTGGCAGAGCTGTGCACCATCTGGGAGTGGCTGGGTGTTAGCCCGGGAGGTGTAGAGAGCTCCACACTGCCCTGAGCTTCTGGTGGGCTGGATTGGGAGCAACGATGCCCTTGGAGTGCTCCTGATCATGGTGAGCACAGGAAAGGCATGTCAGGCTGGGGCTCAGGCCACGACCCCTGTTTCTTCAAGGCAGTGCAGCCTGTTCTGCTGATGCTTGTTTCTGGGAGGAAGGGATGGGTGTTAGTTGGGTGATACTTGCGTAGTAGGCCTAGCGGAGAAGTAGGCTATATCCAAGGCAGTGTCGTTGGCTGGCATTGGCAGTAGCGGTTCAGTAGGCTTGTAGAGTGCAGGATGGACTTGTTGCATTTAAGTTTATGGACAGAGAGATGCCCAGGGCCTGCCTCAAAGGATGGGGGATCCTGGTGCTTCCCATCAGTGTTTTCCCTGCAAATCCACTGGTTCAGAGGCAGCGGGGGCTGGGCAGGGGCTCAGGTGTGAAGAAGACATGATGCAGCTGTCTGCCTCGCCTCCCCTCCTAAGAAGGACTCGGATGTGAAACTAACGCAGAGTGGACACTGAACCTCAGCTGCTGGGCATGCTTGCCCTTCTGGAGACTCTCCACTTCCTGTCATTAGTTCATGGACATCAGGTTTGATTCCGTATCTCAGCTATTGTGAACTGAGCTGCAGTAAACCTGGAGTTACAGATAACCCTTTAAAATCTGCTGATTTCATTTCCTAGGGGTAAATCACCAGAAGAAGGATTGCTGAGTCATATGGTAGATTTATTTTCAGCTTTCTGAGGTATCTCCATACTGTCTTAGGCAGTGGCTTCCCCAGGTTACATTTCTACCAACAGTGTATTAGGGTAGCATAGTGCCAGATCCTCAGCAGCATATATCATTTCTTGATTTTAGTATGAGAGCCATTCTGACTCTGGTGTGGTGAATCCTGAAGGCTAGCAACCTGAGCCTTTTTTCATGTGTCTGTTGGCCAAATGATGTTCCTCTCTTGAAACATGCCTGTTCAAGTCCTTTGCCTATTTTTAAATGGAATTTTTGTTTTGTTGTGTTGAGTTCCTTGAACTCTTTGTAGATTGTGGATGTTAACTTTTATAAGTTTCATAGTTGGCAGATTATTTTCTCTTATTCATTTGGTTGACTTTGCTCTTTTTAGATTCTGGATATTAATCTTTATTTTTTGACAGGCAGAGTTAGACAGTGAGAGAGAGGGAAAGAGAGAGAAAGGTCTTCCTTTTCCATTGGTTCACCCCCAATTGGCTGCTGCGGCTGGCACACCGTGCTGCTCCAAAGCCAGGAGCCAGGTGCTTCTCCTGGTCTCCCATGCAGGTGCAGGGCTCAAGGACTTGGGCCATCCTCCGTTGCACTCCTGGCCACAGCAGAGGGCTGGACTGGAAGAGGAGCAACAGGGACAGAATCTGTCGCCCTGACCAGGACTAGAACCCAGAGTGCTAGTGCTGCAGGTGGAGGATTAGCCTATTGAGCGGCAGCGCTGGCCTGGATATTAATCTTTTTTCAGTTTCATAGTTAGCAAATAGTTTTCTCCCATCCTTTTGGTTGCCTCTTTACTTTTCTGAGTGTTCCTTTTGTAGTGCAGAAGCTTCTCAGCTTGATGGAATCTCATTTGTTTGTTTCAGCTTTTATTGTGCTACTGGCATTTTTTTGCCAGAAATCTTTGTCTAAGCCAATGTAATTCTGTATTCCCCAATGTTCTCTATTAATTTGATGATATTGAGTTTTAGATTTTGTTCCTTGATGTGTTTTAGTTGCTGTTTGTATAAGGTGTAAAGTCTGGGTCTTCTTTCATAGAAGTGCATGTGGAGGTCCAGTTTTCTCAGGACCTTGTTTTGAAGAAACGGTCCTTTGAACCTGGGATTGATCTTTAGCTCCTTCTTGAAAGACAGATTAGTTGTAGATGTGTGTGTTATTTCAGGTGTTTCCTTTCTGTTCCTTTGTTATATGTCATTTTTTTGCCTGTAGCAAGCTGTTTGGATTGTAACTGTCCTGTGCTGTGTCTTGCAGTCTGTTATTGCGATGCTTCGAGTTTTGTCAATGTTGTATAAGGTTGCTTTCTCTATTCAGATGTTCTGTGTTTTCATATGAATTTTAGCATTGTTTTCTTTCCATCTGGGCAAAATGCTATTTGACCTTTGCTTGGGATCCCATTGTGTCTGTAAATTGCTTATGAGAATGGATATTTGCATTATGTTGATTTTGCTAATGAGTCAACGTAGAAGATCTTTCCATTTTTGTGTGTCTTCTTCCATTTCTTAATGTTTTGTAACTTTATTTGTAGACATTTTCATGGATATGAAACTGGACACCGAGTTGATGCTGAAGTTCAGCTGCTGGGTAATCTTCCATTTCTGGGGACTGCTCTGCTTTCTTGTAAAACCCAGCTGTGCCTTCACCCTGGACAGGAGCAACTGGTTAGTAGATGTGGCTGTGTCCTGTTGATGGCAACCCTTGGGCCCAAGGAGAGGAGGGAAGGGAAGAGAAGGGAACCCTGTGCCCTGGGGTTGGGCTGCCAGGCTGACAGCAAAGTGGACTTCCAGATTTTGTGAAGGAAGGTCAAGTGGTGGGAGCCCTATATACATGTGGAGGCAGAAATGTGGGGACCTAGTGTTCCTAGAATAGAGGAACCACAGAGACAGAGTTGAATAAGATTTGGGGAATGAATTCCCTGGGGCTTTGCCAAGAATTAAGGCCCAAAACATGTTAAGAAGGGAATAATGGTTGTCCAGGCAGTGGGAAAGGAATCTGGGAGGAAAACTGCCATGTGTTGACTCAGAGAACAAAACATGAGTCTGGTTTGGAGAGACGTGGTAATAGTTGTTTGGGTTTTAGATTTTCAGGCTAAGGACGATGGGACTGCAAGTACTTCATGCAGTGGGAGTGGAGGGTTAGATGCCATGGAAGAACCTGGGGCGTGCAAGGTTTTGGGAGCTGAAAACAGTGTGTGTCTGTATGTCACCATCCTTGATAGAAAAGGAAAATGGAAGGATTGTGAGGAGGAAGGCAGGCAACTTTGAGGAGAGTTGTGATAGGGAGGAGCTGTAATAGGTCTGCTTGTAATAACTAGTAGAGTATCAGAGTGTGAGATCTGGGACAGGCCCTGGGGAGAAACCTTAGGAAAAGTGAGGGAAGGGATATCAGGAGGCAGGCAGAGGGAACTTTCAGGAGGGATTGGAATGGGAGCTGAGTTAATCAGGACATTTGACCAAAGTGTGCAGACTACCAAGAGGTGGAGAAGAGGTTATTTGAAAGAAAATGGGTTGATAAGTGGCTTGGGAACATGGAGATTCTTATTTAGCCTATGAATGAAGTTTGTGGCTTGTAGAAGTCAGAATCTGGGCAGAGGAGTTTCTCTTGGTAAATATATTTTTCTTGACTTTCAAAGGAGTATCTGCTATGTGCCCACATTTGTTCTAGTTATTTAAGGTACTGCAGAGAGCATCATGAGGGTCCATGAAAAAGTCTGTGGAAAGAGGGATTTGTAAGGTTGTTTCATTGTGTGTGTGTGTGTGTGTGTACAGAGAGAGAGATAGAGAATTATTCTTCTCCATTCAACTGATGATGTTTGAATTCCTTGGCAATTTCTTGTTTCCCTGCCGTGAAGCATACTGCAATAAATACTGTGGTGAACGTATCACTCTGATACAATATGTTCATGTGTTTTGGGTTGTATCAGTAGAGAATTGTTCCATCATATGACAAGTCTGTTTTTATTTTCTTAAAAAATCTCTATATCGTTTTCCACAGTAGTTGCACTAATTTAAATTTTTACCACCAGGGTAATTGTTCCCCTTTTCCCACATCCTCCTCCTCATTGTGACTCTCTGTCCTTTTGGTTTTAGCCAGTATGTACGTGTGAGCTGATATCTCATTGTGGTTTGGACTTGCATTTACCTGGTAGCTTGTGATGTTGAACATTTTTTCCTATATTTGTTGGGCATCTGTATAACTGTCTGTTGAGTTCCATTGGCCATTTCATAACCTGATTGTTGGTTTTTTTGCTTTTTTTTAAGTTGCAAATATATTCTTTTCTTTCTTTCTATTTTTTTAACTTTTATTTATTAAATATAAATTTCAAAAGTACAGTGTATGGATTACAATGGCTTCCCCCCATAACTTCACTCCCACTCGCACCTCTCCCATCTCCAGCTCCCTCTCCCATTCCATTCACATCAAGATTCATTTTCAATTATCTTTATATACAGAAGATCAATTCAGTATATATTGAGTAAATATTTCATCAGTTTGCACCCGTACAGAAACACAAAGTGTAAAATACTGTTTCAGTACTAGTTATAGCATTACTTCACATAGGGCAACACCTTAAGGACAGATCCCACATGAGGAGTAAGGACAAAGTGACTCCTATTGTTGACTTAACAATTTGACACTCTTGTTTATGGCATCAATAATCTGCCTAGGCTCTAGTCATGAGTTGCCGAGGCTATGGAAGCCTTTTGAGTTCGCCAACTTTGATCTTATTCCGACAGGGTCATAGTCAAAGTGGAAGTTCTCTCCTCCCTTCAGAGAAAGGTATCTCCTTTGATGGCCCCGTTCTTTCCACTGGGATCTCAGTCGCAGAGATCTTCCATTTAGGTCTTCTTTTTTTTCCCCCAGAGTGTCTTGGCTTTCCATGCCTAAAATACTCTCATGGGGTCTTCAGCCAGATCTGACTGCCTTAAGGGCTGATTCTGACACCAGAGTGCTATTTAGGACATCTGCCATTTTATGAGTCTGCTGTGTATCCCCCTTCCCATGTTGGATCGTTCTGTCCCATTTTTATTCTGTCAATTAGTATTAGCAGACACTAATCTTGTTTGTGTGATCCCTTTGACTCTTAGACCTATCAGTGTGATCAGCTGTGAACTGACATTGATCACTTGGACTAGTGAGATGGCATTGGTACATGCAATCTTGATGGGATTGAATTGGAATCCTCTGGCAGGTTTCTAACTCCATCATTTGGGGCAAGTTCAAATGAGCATGTTTCAAATTGTACATCTCTTCCCTCTCTTATTCCCACTCTTATATTTAACAGGGATCACTTTTCAGTTAAAATTTAAACACCTAAGAATAATTGTGTGTTAATTACAGAGTTCAACCAATAGTACTGGAACAAAAAATACCAAAAGGGATAAAGTATTAAATTGTACATCAACAGTGATGACAAGGGCTGATCAAGTCACTGTTTCTCATAGTGTCCATTTCACTTCAACAAGTTTCCCCTTTGGTGCTCAGTTAGTTGTCACTGATCAGGGAGAATATATGATATTTGTCCCTTTGGACTGGATTAATTCACTCAACATGGTGTTTTCCAGATTCCTCCATTTTGTTGCAAATGACCTGATTGCATTGTTTTTGACTGCTGTACAGTATTCTATAGAGTGCATTTCCCATAATTTCTTTATCCAGTTTACTGTTGATGGGCATTTGGGTGATTCCAGGACTTAGCTATTGTGAATTGAGCTGCAGTAAACATTAATGTGCAGACAGCTTTTTTGTTTGCCAATTTAATTTCCTTTGGGTAAATTCCAAGGAGTGGGATGGCTGGATTGAATGGTAGGGTTATGTTCAGGTTTCTGAGGAATCTCCAGACTGACTTCCATAGTGGCTTGACCAGTTTGCTATCCACCACAGTGGGTTAGTGTCCCTTTTTCCCCGCATCCTCACCAGCATCTGTTGTTGGTAGATTTCTGAATGTGAGCCATTCTAACTGGGGTTAGGTGAAACTGCCTGTGATCTTGAATATTTTTTCATGTGCCTGTTGGCCATTTGGATTTCCTCTTTTGAAAAATGTCTATTGAGGTCCTTGGCCCATCTCTTAAGTGGGTTGTTTGTTTTGATGTTGTGGAGTTTCTTGATCTCTTTGTAGAGTCTGGTTATTAACCCTTTATCTGTTGCATAGTTTGCAAATATTTTCCCATTCTGTCCATTGCCTCTTCACTTTCCTGACTATTTATTTTGCAGTACAGAAACTTCTCAACATGATGCAATCCCAAATGGCAATTTTGGCTATGACTGCCTATGCTTCCGGGGTCTTTTCCAAGAAGTCTTTGCCGGTACCTATATCTTGCAGGTTTCTCCAATGTTCTCTAAGAATTTGATAGTGTCGGGTCATAGATTTAAGTCTTTAATCCATGTTGAGTGGATTTTTGTGTAAGGTGAAAGGTAGGGGTCTTGCTTCATGCTTCTGCATATGGAAATCCAATTTTCCCAGCACCATTTATTGAATAGACTGTCCTTACTCCAGGGATTGGTTTTGGATCATTGATCAAATATAAGTTGGCTGTAGATGTTTGGGTTGATTTCTGGTGTTTCTATTCTGTTCCATTGGTCTATCCATCTGTTTCTGTCCTTGTACCATGCTGTTTTGATAACAACTGCCCTGTAGTATGTCCTGAAATCTGTTATTGTGTTGCTTCCGACTTTGTTTTTGTTGTACAAGATTCCTTTAGCTATTCAAGTCTCCTGTGTCTCCATATGAATTTCAGCATCATTTTTTTCCAGATCTAAGAAGATGTCATTGGTATTTTGATTGGTATCGCATTGACTCTAGAAATTGCTTTTGGGAGAATGGACATTTTGATGATATCTTTTTTAACTTTTATTTAATGAATATAAATTTCCAAAGTACGATTTATGGATTACAATGGCTTCCCCCACATACTGTCCCTCCCACCCACTACCCTCCCCTTTCCCACTCCCTCTCCCCTTCCATTCACATCAAGATTCATTTTCGATTATCTTAATATACAGAAGATCAGCTTAGTATACATTAAGTAAGGATTTCAACAGTTTGCTCCCACACAGAAACATAAAGTGAAAAACAATAGATTTTTTAAATGATGATGAAATCAGATCAGACCTATTGTCATGTTTAATCCCAGTGAGAGTCAAGTTGGGAGTTGATAATTTTTTTTTTTTACAGAGGATCAGTTTAGTATACATTAAGTAAAGATTTCAACAGTTTGCACCCGAATAGAAACACAAAGTGAATATATTGTTTGGGTACTCGTTATAGCATTAAATCTCAATGCAAAGCACATTAAGGACAGAGATCCTACATGAGGAGTAAGTGCACAGTGACTCCTGTTGTTGACTTTACCAATTGACACTCCTGTCTATGGCATCAGTAGTCTCCCTATGCTCCAGTCATGAGTTTCCAAGGCTATGGAAGCCCTCTGAGTTCTCTGATTCTTATCTTGTTTAGACAAGGTCATAGTCAAAGTGGAGGTTCTCTCCTCCCTTCAGAGAAAGGTACCTCCTTCTTTGAAGACCTGTTCTTTCCACTGGGATCTCACTCGCAGAGATCTTTTGCCAGAGTGTCTTGGCTTTCCATGCCTGAAATACTCACATGGGCTTTTCAGCCAGATCCGAATGCCTTTAGGACTGATTCTGAGGCCAGAGTGCTATT